TTTCTGGGGGAAAAAAAAAAAAACCTAGGCAAATATTTTTTTTTCTCTTGAGAAAGATGATTTTGGTCCTCAAGAGATCTTTTTAAATATTAGAATGGCAGATAACTGAATCTTTTGTAGACAGATGTTGTGAAATGTGCTTGTGGTAATGATGTTTGTTTAGTGTTTCCCTCAAAGGAATTCTGAGTGCTTTACAGTCATTTTTCTTCATTATTTCTGAAGGTTTTTTTATTTTCCTGATCCTATTTTAATCTCAAGCATAAATTCTTCCTTCAGTTCTTCTTGCTACATTGTCTCTGAAATATCTCCTGTTAGCCTCATGCTCTACTACTGTCTGCACTTCCAGGATTGTATACTCACACCACTTCAGACATCCTTTCAAGATGTTTGCTTGGTAGCTCCGGCTTCTCTTTCTCTATTTGCTATGTTTCTTTGCTCTTTCAAACTTTTCCATTTATATTTTTCACCATACTTTCTCCCCCTTGAGAGAAGGATTGCTTGAAATACACCTTGTTCTTCTACATAATTTTTTTTTCCTTTTTCATTAATTTTAGTTGTTTACTCATTTCTAACCTGCCTTGCTCCATAAAGAATTGGCAGTGACTATCTACACATGTTCTTTAACATGAGCCCTGTTGGTTGGAATTGGAAATCTGATATTTGTAGATTTTCTTTTTCAAAAAAGTTTCACCTTTCAGTACTCAAGGAATTTAACTTTCCTTCTCATTTCTTTTCTTGTTTCCTTGAAGAAACAAGAAAAAAAAAATCACGACTTTAAGACAAGTTCATATTTTGTAGAAACAAATTGGATACTGCTATCCCTTCAAAAAGTAACCTCTAAAAGCACCTCGTCATTGGGCTTTAATCTGTAGGATGTAGAGAGCCCCTGTCATAAAGAAATTATGATCATGAAATTATGTGGAAGGCACCTCAGAATTCCACACACTTATTTTTACAGATGCAGAAACTGAGGTTCACAGTGTTTTAGAAATGTGTTTATAGTCTCAGAAATACTCAGAGACATGTTTAGAATTCATTTAGAAGACAAGTCACCTGGAACATTTAAAAAATCATTAAAGAAGGTAGTAGATAGCATGAAATGATGAATAACTGGGTTCCGGGCAGTGGTGAGCTGGTGGATGTTTAACAACAGGGGCTGGGGCTGGACAGAGGGAGCCTGATTGATAGTGTTTGCCACCTTCATGGTGCCCATGCCAGTTTCAAGCTATCAGCCTGACACCCTTGAACCAGGAGTTGGGAAGAGATGAGCACAATCCAGTCAGCTTTTGAGAGTGGCAGAGATCATCCGGCTACAGTGAGTAGGCCCTTAAGGAGGAGAACTGTGCTAGACCATTGCTCCCCATGCCTCAGACCTTACAGTTGTGAAGAATAATCCATTTTCATTTAGCCTCTGCACCACTCTGCTCCTTCACTTTTGCTCTTGCTTTGGCAGATAAATAATCTTACCTCCTCAGCTATCATTTACATTTCAAGCCCCAGCTCAAAATGAGGATCTGTGAGATTTCTTGTGATTCTTTTGGAAATCGTCACTTCTACTCTGAATGACAGAGTATTTATATCTTTTATTAGAGTAATTACCAAAGCCTAACTTGTCCATGGATAGTGGATATTAATTATCAAAGCCTATTATTGTTGATAGAGAGTGTCTTTTCTCTCTAGACTGTCCTTGGAGGCAAAGGAACATGTCTTACTCCTTCCTTGTCAGAGAAGCAGTACAGTGTGGTGGGTAGGAGCCCAAGTTCTGGAGTCAGACTGCTTAGCTTCAAGTCACTTACCATGGGACCCTGGGCAAGTCATCAAACCCCTCTGTAGCCATCTGTAAAATGAAACATTAAATGTGAGTCCCAATCTCACAGGCTCACTGTGATATAGTGAGATTACTAGATATAGTCAGTGCCTAGCACATCTATGCCCTCAATAAATGCGACCTGGTATTGTTACCTCTAGCACACAGCCCAGTGCCTGGCACAGAATCAGTGTGCAGTTGGTGGTGGTTGAAATGAATGGACTTGAAGTAAGGATATGACCCAGCTAACTCGGTAGGAAGTTGGGAAAGGGTGTCATAAAGGGAACTGCATGAACAAACTATTGTTGGAGAAATAAGAATGATATATTTAATAAAAATCAGTAGATTATAGAATTATAGGATCAGAACCCAGGTTTCCAGCTGTGGTATGATGAACACAGAGCAGGGTAGGATCATTTGTACCTTCCCTTCACCCCATATGCTAGATGATGTATGTCTATAAATATACCATTGTTATTGCAATAGCTTTTGTAGACTGCTGATTGAAATATCTCATTTTCGATGCTGTGCAATTGCTTTTTAAAACATCAAAATGCTAGATTTTGAGTACAAATACTGTTACATTTCATTCAATTTGGTTCAGTCCATCATTCCAACTAATTCATATCTCCTCGAAACTTGATTCTGCAATGCAGTTTATCTTCCCTCCTATCTAGTTTTCTGCTGTCTGCAATTTTGTAACCATGACTTCTATTTTGTTTTCCAAAATAATATCCAGGCCACTTCTAAGAACAGAGTCCCCTGACATGACACTAGTGACTTTTTCTACGTTGGCAGTCATTCATTAAACAATCTATTTTTTTCCTTTTTGGGTACAGATTTTAAACTGCTTTCAAATCTATTAAAGTGTGCAATATCCATATTGTTCGCAATAATATCTGAGAAACTCTGCCAAAATGTTATGTCTGTAGCATTTTTTCCCACAGATAAAGTAAGTCTATTAGAAAAGAAAATGGAGCTAGTTTGTTGCAAAGTGTTCCTGATTAATCCATGTTAGCTTTTAATACCAACAACTTCCTTTTCCAAGTTGAACTAAGGATTCATGATGTAAAATAGTGAAGTTAACTGTATCAAGGTAGGCTAGACTCAACCCACAGACTTTGACTCTCTAGGTGAGAAATTTGGGCACAATTCTGAGGACAGTGAGAGATTGTTGAAATTTTTGATTCAGGATTATATGAATTGTGTTTTTTATATTATTATAAAATTGTGTTTTCTGGCAGCAGTGTCCACAATGGACTCTGGGGGGACCTTTAGTGAGATTTGAAATTTCCTGCAATAATCTCAGAATGGGCCACTGGGCTATATTAGGCTAGGCTAGTAGCAATAAAGATAGAAGAGAATAAATTTGGATTTAAGAGAAAAAAAGTCAAAAGGGACTACTGAGGGAAGATGATAGGAAATAAATAAATAAATAAATAAATAAATAAATAATAAATAGGTACTTTAGGGCTTCTCAACCTTTTACACATTATTGAAGGTGCAGAATATAAAACCAATTTGGCCACTGGGGTAAATAGGCCTGTTTGGGGATGGGGTACCAATGTTGGGGGCCCCCAGGACTAAGTCTCTCCTCTCCCAATTCCTACCTGCCCCAACTGGCAGAGGACATTAGTATCTCCACTGGCTGCAGAGCCATTTGGAAATTTCTGTTTTAGAAATAAGTAGTCTTAGTAATATGAGAAAAAAACATCTTGTACTAAAATCAGGATCAACAGTTCAGAGAAGTCTATATACATGAAGGAAAGCAAATGTTTGGTTCGGTGCATGATTCTGAACAAAGAAGCAAAACATCATTTATACCCTTGAAAGAAAACCAACCAGCATCAGTCAAACAGGGACTGTGTAGGTACCAAATAAGATTGCCCAAGCCACCAAGCCACTGCTTGCATTATAATGATGCAGTAACACAAGGGCAGGGGCTGTGCAGGCTACTGGACAAAGAAACCAAGGAGGGAGTCTGGGTTTTGCATTAATTTGGAAATCCAAGCCGATTTGCTTGAACATTTACGAAGTGCTACCAACTTGTTGCTTCTTATTGATTTCTGTAGTTAATAAATTAAGTAGTGCTGTAGTTCCTGGTGCCTCACCTGTTCTACTAATTTACATTGCTGCATGGAGGAAATCATAGATTGAGAAAATGTAGGTGCTTGCAATCCATAATTCCTTATGATAATTGAAGATGCTCAGTTATAGAAAATAAGCAAGTATTCCCTCTTTCTCCATTAAACTCAATGAGACAGAGAGATCAAGAGCCCCCCAACAAAGCCATGTCGATTCCCTTATAAATAGGAATGAGTGGCTCTTCTGAAAAATAATGGAACCCATACATTTTTCAGGATGGTTGCCAGCAGGCCGCCATGTTCATGATTCAGGGGTACTGGCCTTTCACACTGGAGTCCATGTGGATGGTGCTCCCTGGTGTTGGGGCACTCAGCCTGTGTGGCCATAGGTGGTGGCTCACAGAGAGACATATCTGATTCATCCCAGGGCTTCCACCCAGCCCAGGAGGTGCACATCTGCATTGACCCATGTTCGTCCCCAGCCTAACTGTGCTCCCTTCCCAAACAGTGTTAGTATTCTTTAATCCCAATTTGTAATTTTATTCCAATTCAGATCCACCTAGCTCTCCCCACTGGATCTCTTCTACAGTCAAAGCACATCCTTTTGGCTCATTTGCTCCCATTGTTCTGTTGACCTTTCCACAGCTATCTGCTGCTCTCCCCATCATGCTCCTTGTTACAGTTAAGTAGAAAAAACTGGTAGCCACACATAATGCAGGCAACTCCAGCATCCTCACAGCACTTACTACACAGTGCTGCAAGATATTTGTTTACATATCTGACTCTACTCACTATGAGCTTCATGAAGGATAGAATGATGCTTCTTTGAGCCATGGGTCTTGGCAGGGTGCCAGCACACAGTAGGTTCTCATTTAATGTTTGGTAAGTGAGTGATAAATGAATGTATTGCCTTTCTTACATTTGGACACAGTAGTCTCATTTGGGGCATATGACTAGAGAGAAGAAAAAGCATTCCTCTCTCTAGTTTGTACAATGTTGGCACTTGTTGGCTTTTGTTCAACTGCTTCCTGGGATTATTCAGACAATACAGGGACAGGCTGTTATGTTGTGGCCAGAGGTTTCTGATTCTCGTGTTCATCCTTGTGCAGGTGGGGAAGTGGAAAGACAAGTCCCTGCAGATGAAGTACTATGTGTGGCCCCGAATGTGTCCAGAGACTGAAGAGCAGGAAGATGACCATCTGAGCATTGTGACCCTGGAGGAGGCACCATTTGTCATTGTGGAAAGTGTGGACCCTCTGAGTGGAACCTGCATGAGGAACACAGTCCCCTGCCAAAAACGCATAATCACTGAGTATGGCATCCTCTCAATGACTTTGGGTGGCATGGAAGAGTCAGCTTTGATGCACCTGTTAGCACTTGGCTGGCCTGAGACCTGAGGCATGAGAACTGGGCACTGTGTCTGATTTCTAGTTGTTTTTTATCTGTGGGATTACTGGCAGCCCTCTGGTCTGATGTCCCATTCTGTCCAGATGGTGACCTGGGAAAATGATGGCTAACTTCCTATGCTAAACTTTCTCTGGTCTTGCTTGGCCTCAATGATCAGGACCTCAAGTTTATGGAGATTTAAGTTTACTTCTGGTTTTCAAATATGTTTTCTTGGGCCAACATGCCCCAAAATCTTGAGATTTAGAACTATTTTTTGAAAAATATAAAACTAATCTATGCTTTTAAAAGTCAGGATAATGGTTCTCCTTGGTGTGAAGTGCCTAGAGTGGGAAAGAAGAGGCCTCTTGGGTGCTGGTAACTTTTCTGTATCTGGATCTGGGTGCTGATTAAAAAGAGGAGTTCAGTCTGTGAAAATTCATTGAACTGAGGCCTTCAAATATGCACCCTTTTCTTATGTATTTTGTACTTCAAAGGAGAATTAAAATGAAGAGGAAACATATCTCCATGCAATGAGATAATGAGAATAGTGCAGGTCTGCTGTCTGTTTTATTTCTTCACTCGAGTCTAGTATAAATTGTGCTGAGCTGTGAAGGGGGTCTGCTTTGGGATTGGAGGTTTTTTAATGGCAAAGGGTAATAAATGTTGCCTTTTTGTACAAAGCCTTTTTGTTCGTTTGTTTTTGTTTCTTTAATTGGCTAGGAATAAAACAGATGAGGAGCCGGGTTACATCAAAAAATGCTGCAAGGGGTTCTGTATCGACATCCTTAAGAAAATTTCTAAATCTGTGAAGTTCACCTATGACCTTTACCTGGTTACCAATGGCAAGCATGGGAAGAAAATCAATGGAACCTGGAATGGTATGATTGGAGAGGTGAGTGTCCACAAGGGCTGTTTCCATTTTCATTTATTTTCCTTCTTTTAAATATATGTTTTAAACATGCTCACTTTATGCATTTCAGAAAATACAAAATGGCAAATAAGATGTATTGTTCCCACTATATAAAGAAAACCACAGCTAGGCTGTATTTTCCTCGTGGTGGTCCCTTGCCCTCTGAATGTTTTAATTGGAGGATTGCGCCTTTCTCTTAGGTGGTCATGAAGAGGGCCTACATGGCTGTGGGCTCACTCACCATCAATGAGGAACGATCGGAGGTGGTCGACTTCTCTGTGCCCTTCATAGAGACAGGCATCAGTGTCATGGTGTCACGCAGCAATGGGACTGTCTCACCTTCTGCCTTCTTAGGTAAATGATGGGTTTGCTGGTGGAAGGAAATGGATATATGGATGGGGAAGTGAAATAGGGAACAAAGAAGGAGCACATGGCCAGGCTCTTCCAGCTAGGAGGTGGTTTGCTAGGAGCTCAACTCAGTCAGGGACTTCACTTAGGGGACTTCAGAATTAATTACTCTCAAACATGAAAACTGATGAACACCCAGAAAAACAGGAAAGCATAATGCCGTCTAAGAAAGCCGTACAGGACTGGTCCTCAGAGGGCCTACTGTAGTCCCATTCCTGCCATTTAGTCAGCATGTAACCTTGAGCAAATTTGCTCTATCTGGGGACTTGGTTTCCTCATCCACAGGAGAAGTCATTTCAACCAGGCTGATCTCTGAGGCTGCTTCCTGCCGTAATAATTTCTAATTCTGGATATCATTGAAATATCTATTTATTTTTAATTATCTGCAAGAATTGTGCTCAGTGCTACCAAAAAAGGTTTTTTTGTTTCCACGCAAATTTTCTGAGGCTTTGCCAGATAGAGCTGATCTGATTCTTCCTCCCACCCCAGCGCACCCCTCCCCATACCATTCTCTCCAGCATCACTTAAATGTCAAAAATCTCAGATATGATATAAGACTGGGTGAGATGAGGCCAAGATTTCAGTTAGATGAGGTCTTTTGTGAGCTCATACCCCATATTTTTTTCAGGGGCCATGGAATGAGGGGTTGGAAAACAAAACGTCACCTTGAAAACAGAACACTGGGTTAGCAGAAAGGAGACTGGGTTTGGCCTGAACAAGCTGTAAGCCCCTGGACGAGTCAGCATCTCTCTAAGGGACATCAACATTTTTTAAATGGGGCTATTATAGTAGACAGCGACTAACATTTCTTTAAGCTCTAACCATAGGGAATTAATTCAATTAATGCATTGCAAAGTGGAGTTATAGGCTCCATAGAATTTTTCTATAAATTACTCACATTTCTTAGCTAATCTTCTTACAGTGAAGCAAATTCCAGCCTTGCCAATTTTATGTGAAATATGATTAGATAGTACACACTGTATGCAGTAATTCTCATAGCTGCTGTACGTATTTTATTTGCTTTTTTTCCTGTGCAAGGATAATTGGAACTTTAAGAGATATAAACAAAACCACATTCTAATTCTAACCTTGTCAGTACAGCACTACCTTAACTTCTGAACTGGCAGAGCCAGTGGTACATTAATATATCACTGGAATGGCATAGAAATGTCAGGCAGGGTGTGTTTACGTCTGTGTTCAGAGGAGGAGCAGTTAGTTATAGGGATAAGAGAAGCCAACATTTATTGAGCACCTACTATATAATGTGCCAGGCATCATTGTACACCCTTTGGTAAGATTAACTCATAAAATGTTATTATACCCATTTTATAGCTTAGGAAACGGAATCTTAGACATATTAAGCCATTTTCCAGCAGTCTCTTGGCTGATAACTGGCAGCTCTAGGATTAAAATCCAGCTATGGTAGCCTTCAGAACCTGTGTTCTAGTACAAATAAGGCCTTTTCAGGGTTCAGCCCCTAACCCAGGAACCAGCATGGGGGACAAAGAACAATGTAATAAAATGAAAAAACACAGACTTTTTGGCTCAGTTTGTAACCTGACCCTGCCACTTTCTGAGTATGAACTGGAAAGAACCTTGACCTCTCAGTCCTAGTTTACTCCTCCATCAAATAAATAAGGCAATCCCTAATGAAAGGGCCATTAGAAGGATTATATATACAGTATGTAGTAAAGTACTTTCTAAATTGTAAAGACCAAAACAGACGATGTATTTTGTGTATAGAAAGTTTCCCTGGGCCTAATGGGAGGAAAAGACCATAGAGGTGATGCTTTTACTCAGTTATTCCCCAATCTTAGACAAAAGAGAAATCAGGGTAGAATTGCAATCAATTAGAGTCAAGTGTGCAGAGGTTTTCTCCGCACCTCTGGAGAGAGCCTTTGAATTGTACCTATTACGCTCGCATCTCTAGCTGCCATTAAAAGGTTTTGCATTTCACAGTTGGTGTGTTAAGCACTGGGGCTTTATCAAGATCTTTTTAAAATTGATTAAGTGACCAAGCTTTTACAATTCCTTTGGGAGTTCGATAATAAAGTAGGTTTCAGAGTAAGAAATATATTTTCTAATTTTCAGCCAATTTTTCCCCTTTTTAAACTTCATCTTTATTAATGATTTGGAAGATGGAGAAAACAGCATGTTAATTCACTTAGTTATGAGTTTACAATGTGCTGTGACAGCTAAAAAGGCCAGAACTATTTTGAGACACAATTGAGGGAGCATTGTATCATGGGACAGAATAGTGATTGTCCCTTTTTATAGGCCTTCACAGAGATGGCTTCTGGAATATCGTATCTAGTTTCGGGACACCTCCAAGCCAGAGAGATATTTAGCTCAACTGGAAAGGATTCAGTGCACATGATTAAAGATATTAAAGAAAGCATGTGTGAAACATTCTTGTACCTTGCCCAGTCTTGTCCCATCAAACCTATCACTTGGTGACGGGGGATAGATTGTAGTTGGTTTGTGAATTACAGCTTAGGCATGTTCCCTTGTCACTTGTTAAATTTCCACCGTTGCAGATAATAATATTTAGCATGGAAGGATTCTTTTTTTTTTTTTTTTTGAGATAGAGTCTCACTCTGTCGCCCAGGCTGGAGTGCGGTGGCACGATCTCCACTCACTGCAAGCTCCACCTCCCGGGTTCACGCCATTCTCCTGCCTCAGCCTCCCGTGTGGCTGGGACTACAGGCGCCCGGCACCGCGCCCAGCTAATTTTTGTATTTTTAGTAGAGACAGGGTTTCACCGTGTTAGTCAGGATGGTCTCGATCTCCTGACCTCGTGATCCGCCCATCTTGGCCTCCCAAAGTGCTGGGATTACAGGCGTGAGCCACTGCGCCTGGCCAGAAGGATTCTTTAACATTGACTTGTATTCTCATACCCTAATGATGTCTGATAACATACAATACATAAAAGTAGGTGGAAAAAGTGAATCTAGGCCAGGAAGTTTAAGAGAAGTGATACAAGGAGGAAAGGGGGGCTGGTTATGTATTGTACATAATTATTCCTGAACAAATTCAACTCTAAAATAGTAGGTAGGTCTGTTGAGAATGACTGTATCTGCAAGGCTCAGAAGCATTGGGGAAGGCATTTCCAGGCCTCTATTACATGGTGCGGCCATATAGATGAGAACACAAATTGAGTCAGTCCAATACTCACCTCATAGCTAGTACTTCTTCCAATTGTACCATTTACTGAAATACCCAGATATTGGTCCAATATTGGCAGAAACTGCCTCTACAACCTAAAAGGCTCACAGGCATGAAGCTGTCCTTCTCATGTATTTCAAGGAAGACAGTCCTTGCCCTTTAAGGAAATGGTTCAGGTACAATCTAACCTAGGCCCTGGCTTCCTGAAGGCAGACAACACACTGTGGTTTGTTCCCCACCCCCTAAAATATGAAATGAATATGTGAATTAATTCGAAGTCTTTTGCTGTCTGTTTTAACCCTGAGCACTGCTTTTTTCCCTTCCCCAGAGCCATTCAGCGCTGACGTATGGGTGATGATGTTTGTGATGCTGCTAATCGTCTCAGCCGTGGCTGTCTTTGTCTTTGAGTACTTCAGCCCTGTGGGTTATAACAGGTGCCTCGCTGATGGCAGAGGTAAGGCCGGCTGGAACTGCTGCATTTCCCCAATTTTTTTCTCCTATTTTCAAATCTCTGGACTCCTCATTTGTTATCTGCATTTTCCCTAGCATATCCATTTCTGAAAAGGAACCCTCAGGTGAACATTTCTGGGTCACCATCTTGGTGTCTCTTTAGAAATACCCCAGTTAAGATGTTAGTTTGAATCTGTAGGTCGGCTTTATGCCTGGCCCCAAGCCTAGTTGCACTCCCAAGTTAAGGAGAGGAAAAACTGTTGGTAGATATGGGTATAGCATAAACATGTCATAGGAAACTATTTTGATAACCTTAGGCTGTGGGCAGTCTGTTGGAACAGATGTCGCTAACAAGGCAGATTGTACACACATGTTAAGAACAAGAAGAAATGGAATGCCCCAGGGTATTTGCAGGTGGTTGTGGATAGTAGAGTTCCCCAGTGCCAAAGGATCACAACTGAAGTACCAGATCTCCAAAGCATATGCTCCTGGCTTAACCCCCTTGCCAGAGAGTATAAAAGTTGGGTGTTGGAAATAAAATGAATGAGAAAGATCAATTCTCACTCATAGCTGTTATTGGGTATGGTCCAATTTCCTGGGTAGGTGGACCCAGAGATGTGAGGGCTGCCCATGTGTTTGAGGCATTTATGACAGTTTTTAAAAGTTCACATGATTTCTAAAGAGGGGCATGGGATCCTTGTAAATAACTCCTCTAAAACTTCCTGAGAACCCCAGGATTAAGAAATATTCTGCCTTCTCTGAGCCTTCTCCATTCCAGAATGTGAGCTCTATCCTAGAATTATACCTCCAAGAGGAAAGATTCTTAATCCTGGCTACACATAAGAATGATCTATGGGGGTATCTAAAAGACACGGGTGCTTGGACCTCATTTTCTGATTCACCAAGTCTAGGGTGGAGCTTAGACCACTGTATGTTTCAATATAGTGTTTCTCTATATCTTGGTTGCATGTTAAAATAACCAGCCTCACCCTACACCAAGTTAATAAGAATCTCTGAGGATAGGGTTTCAGGCAGCAGTATTTTATAAAATCTTCCTCATGCTTCTGTTGGATCCACAGTACAAGCTGTGAAACACCAATTTACTGAAGTATTTCCAAGTGTAGACCTACCTTTTAATTTGGTTTGTGTATTCTGAGATGGGAGTTGGGGTGTCTCCACTGCATGGTACAGTCAGGGGCCTTCCACCTGTGCTTCATCCAGAAGCCATGACCTAGATCCCAGCCTGTGTGGCATCAGTAAGAAGTGGAACATCTGGGAATCACATGAGTATATACTTAGGTCGGCAATGTCAAGAACTAAAGTCAGTGTGCATTGCCTCTCTCCCCTGAAAAAAATAGCAGGAACCAAAAATCCAGACTTGCAAAGAAAGCCCAGAGTGAGGGCTTACAATTACTTATTTTACCGAAGGCTGTTTGTCTTCACAGAGGAATTCGACATGGGACCACTTTAAATATCAAGTCTCCTTAGAGCATTTTACAATTTACAAAACTTTAATTTATAAACAACTTTTTAGTTACACATCTGTTGCATGAAATAAGGTCCACACGCACAGATGTGTGTGCACAGTTAGATATCAGGTTCAACATGAGTTGTCCCTGATGATTTATTTGGCTGAGCAGATGCTATCAGGATCACAGATTACATCATAAGACCTGTGCAAATATATTGTAAAACTGTGCAGGCAGATGTTCATTTCTGCAGTGCAGGGGCTACATGGAGATTCAGACAACAGGCAAGATTTTACCACCAGCATAGAGATTGCGGTGAGGTCACAATACATATATGGGCAGAAGCCCAAGCACTGTGTGTGCAAAGGTTGGGGGAGCGGGGGAAATCAAAGTCAAAAGCAGCTTCCTTTCTGCCCTTAGATGCATGTAGCCAGGCCAGAATTCTATGACTTCCCCTTTGGCCTTCCTGATATTATTTTACACACAAGCTTCTACGGCAGGAAACCAGCGGGAAAGTGTTGGCCTTGGAGTGGGGTCAGGTTTGTCTTTGAAATATTGAGTGCTAAGTGCTAGAAGCTAAAGAAAAATCAGGAAAAAGTGCATTCCAAGCCATCTAGTATCAGTGTAAACAGACTTGAAGAGGGTTTGTGAATGGTAGAAAACAATCTTACACAATTCTTGCTGATGTTTTTGGAAGTTAAAATGCATTATTGGTAGATACAAATATAAAATTTAGGAAAAACTGACAGTAATGATTCAAGTGTGACCATAGTGACATAGGCAGCCTGTGTTATTCAGTTTTGATGTGATCTTGACAGGGTCTTGTATATGGGGCAGGTTGATGGCTCCTCCAAAGGGGAGTCATGACTGTTAGTTCAAAAAAGACCATCCCCCACACACCCCAGGCTTTTGGTTTTTCTTCTAAGGAACCCTCTGCAGCCCTCCTGAGAGTCCCTGGAAAAGAGATACACACTCTCAAATTTAAAAACTGTCTATAAAAGGGCTCGGTTTTAGTGGAAGCGTTTCCTGCTCTGAGCAGGGACTCACCCTGTGTATTTGTAGGTTTAAATAGAACCAGTCATGATGGCTTAACTTTTGTCCTTGTCTTTTTGTCGTGCCAGAGCCTGGTGGCCCCTCTTTCACCATCGGCAAAGCTATTTGGTTGCTCTGGGGTCTGGTGTTTAACAACTCCGTACCTGTGCAGAACCCAAAGGGGACCACCTCCAAGATCATGGTGTCAGTGTGGGCCTTCTTTGCTGTCATCTTCCTGGCCAGCTACACTGCCAACTTAGCTGCCTTCATGATCCAAGAGGAATATGTGGACCAGGTTTCTGGCCTGAGCGACAAAAAGGTAAGAGACTCATTTGAAATCTCTCATCTTTCCTTCAATCCTGTTCTCAGCCATACTCAAAATTCTCATGCACCTGCTTGTCTTCTCAATTTTTGGAATTGACTGTTCTTTCTTATGTTTCCTTGTATTGGAACATGGGAGTAGAAGTCAGTTTCCCTGCTGAAATAACATGACTTCATGTTGGCCTCCTGATTCGTGAAAAGTTATCACTAGTACACCCTAGGCTGCAAATAAGAGGGTTGGTATGTTAGCAGCTTTCTGAGTGCATGGTACCTCCTGTTGGATGTGGTTGGGTGGCCTATCTGCAGAGGGGCTGCCAGTGTGGGGTGTTATTAGACAGCCGCCGCTGTGTACCCACACTGAGGAGATGGGCGCGTGATGGCCTCCTTTTCTTCCCGGTGATGTTTGGCTGTGGGCTCTCCCTTTGTTCCACGGCACACTCATGTGATCCTGGGGCTGAGCAGGAGGGTTGTTCACATTGTGTCTTAAAGAGAAGTAACTGCTGTTTAACTGGATGATTTGGATGATTGCCCCTGAGTGGTGTTGATGAATGGGCTGCCCCCTCCTGTGGGCCTATGCAGTTGAGAGAGAAGGGAAAGTGTCTGCTGTTTTCCATCACTGCTGGATGAGGATGTACAAAATCCATTCTAAATACATCTGACCCTCCAGTCTGCCTGAAGCATCACATTTTCCATGGGAGATCTGTCTCCTGAAACTATATAACCAGAACTAGGGATGGGAGCCACTTTCGTGGAGTGTCCCATAAAGTTTATGGCCAAAATAATTTTGGAGACTTGCGCTTACAACAAATTTTCTATTCTATTTCCTTAAGATTTAGAAAATGTGGTATTTTTCCACTCCCATCCCCACCCCCCGAGGATGAAGCCATGAGATACAGACAGGTGTGTCTTCAGACCAAATAGTAGTTTGCACATGGGTTAGATTTGCCCAACCTAAAACCCTACCCACTTAAGCAAATGGTCTGAGAAGAATGAAAAGGAGGACATATTCTCTTCAGGGGCTCAGATTCTGATTTTTCCTTCTACATCTCTACTTATCAAGAACATTTAAAAGCATGTGGAGAAGATAAACAGTATCTTGAGAAAATGAATATATATATATTATATATATATTTTATATATTTTTTTCTGAGTGCATGGTACCCCCTGTTGGATGTGGTTGGGTGACCTATCTGCACAGGGCTGCCAGTGTGGGTTAGTAGAGGGCCGCCACTGTGTACCCACACTGAGGAGATGGGTGCATGATGGCCCAAGGAATATATATATTCCACTGTGTTTATCCCTTTGTGTTATCTCTTTCTCTGATTTGTCTTCCTTTTTGCTTTTTCTTCCTTATTTAAAAAAAAAAAAATTCTCTTTCTTGGACTTTTTTATTTGGAAGCTTTTATTTACTTCTCTCATCTCAAGATTTATGATACATTTATTTATATATTCATCCATTTATTAATCCGTTTTTAAACCTCTCTCTCACTGTTTCTTCATCAACATCTTTCATCATAACCCTAACTAAAATTTGAGTTACATACCTCCTTTCACCCCCCTTTGCAGCCACTACCATAATCACCTTTTGGTTACTATTTCTGGAACCTGGACAGTAGTTGGGCTGAGAACAACCTCAGGGCTCATTACTTGGATGTGGCTTAGGGTAAGGTGGACCACACCCACCTCCTATTGTTTGGATGTCTGATCCCTTTAAATCTCATGTCGAAACTTGATCCCCAGTGTTGAAGGTGGGGCCTAATGGGCAGTGTTTGGGTCATGGGGTGAATCTCCCATGAACAGATTAGTGCCTTCCTTGGGAGGGGCGGGACTGAGTGAGTTCCTGCTTTGTTAGTTTCCATGAGAATTGCCCCAAAAGCTGATTGTTAAAAAGAGCCTGGCACCTCCCCTCTCGCTTGCTTCCTCTCTTGCCATATGATCTCTGCACATGCTGGCTCCCCTGCCCCTTCCACCATGAGTGGAAGCAGCCTGAGGATGTCACCAGATGCCCAAACTTGAACTTTTCCAGACATCAGAATTGTGAGCCAACTGAATTTTTTTTTCTTTATAAATTACCTAGTCTCAGGTATTCCTCTATAGCAACACAAAATACACTAAGGCACCACCCTAAAACATGGATGTTGCAGAAACTTGATGGGCCATGCCCCATGTGTAGACTTGTCAGAAGTATGGCAGACCATGTCTTCACACGCGGCTGTGGCAGAGATGTAGTAGACTGTGTACCCACACAGAGTATAGCAGGGCCATGTCACCATGATTGACATGGCAGGGCATGGGTGTAGTGTATCATGTCCTATGCATGGTTATAGCACTGTATGGTGAGATCATGTCACTGTGCATCAATATGGCAGAGATGAGGTAGGTCACAGATCTTCCTAGGGGTCTGGGCTGTTAAGTGGAGGATCTCCATGGGTATCAAAATGTTTCCTTCCAATGTCTCAAAAATTACTTGGTATACTGCACTTATCTTTCTCTTACCCTCATGGGCCATGCAGTAATAACTGAATGCTTTTCTGTTTGAACTGAGCATAACTGAGACACGGAGGAAGATAGTTTTCTTTTCCACGATCTTGAAATAAGTATCATATCTAGGCTTCTTAAAGCAGATAGGATATGCACGTCTGTCCTCCATACCATGTTGATTATGTTCTAAAAAGTTGGAGCCCATCAGTTTGTTTTATAGAATGAAGGCAGTTTGTGTGTGTGTGTGTGCATGTCTGTGTGTGTGTGTGTGTGTGAGAGAGAGAGAGAGAGAGAGAGAGAGAGAGAGAGAGAGACTTTCAAGACCCTTGAAATAATTTCCACTGTGACACCAGCTCTGCAGTCTCATTGGCCGATTCTTGGGTTCCTGCATCTGATATCCTGGGTATCTACAATTCTTCATCTTTTTCAACCTTACCTCTATCTGTGCATCTGCCTACGAGGCTTTTTTCCCCACTTTTTCACTCATTGAACTTCTACTGAAACTTCAAAACCTAGATTAGAGATCCCTTTATTTGTGGAGCTTTCCCTAGCTCATCTGGGAAATTAGTCATGCCATGCCCTATTATGGCAACTATTCAAGTCTTTATTATAACACGTGTGTTCCACATTCTGTTGCAATAATCTATAGGCCTATACCTGACCACCTATTCCTCTATCTGACCGTGAACTCCACAAAGTCAATGACCGTAAGTTGGTCATCATTAAGACAAAAAAAAAAAAAAAGTCTGTGGGGAGAGAGGAAGAGAGGCTGTATTTACTTAAGAGCCCCTGGCGAAAACAGTGGACCCAGCATCACAGGCAAAGAAAGCAGTGAGTCAGCAAGTGCCCCTTAACAGCTATTTAATTTGTAAATGGTTATCTGATACATTTCAGAACTTTGCAGATGACAAAACAGTAAAGTGGAAGCACCCTACCAGAATCTGTCAACATGACTTACATAATTACAGAAAACACTTAAGTAACTAATGACTGCATATCAGTGTCAGAGACAGTTACATAAATCAGAAAGAGAGTTTCCTGAAAGTTTACTTAAAATGTTAAAATTCTTATAGTCTTACTTCAAAACACGTAAAGAAAACAAATTCATAGGACAGGGTATGGTAATGCGTGAGGGGGGAAGTATATTCTGTGAATTTAGGAAAAGAATAAAGACATTCAAACAATAATGTTGAGAAAAGAAATGAGGTGATTTTGAAGATTATTTTCCAATGTGATTAGATTTTCATCAAGGAAGTAACATTTAAAATGGAGAAGGGTTCCTAAACTTGTTTTGACTATTACAGGTGATATATCTTCCATATAACTCAGATCAAATGATAAATATCTTGGAATGATAATGGAAAGATATTTGTAGCCATTCAATTTATAGCTTTTTAAAAAATTATCTTCAGCTTTTTTTGCAGAAAAAAAAATGTACTCAGATTTCATTTATGTTAAGGTAGAAAACCAGAGTTAAATTTCCATGAAAACCTATTTTTGTGCTCCTTTATACTGGAAGGCTTCCATTTTGCGGTAGCACATTACAGTGAATTCAGAATTGTTCCACTACATGCTGTACCTAAATATGGGTGCAAGTTCTAACATTCAGCAGCCCGACTGTACATTCCATCAGCTCCCCCAGTGGGAGGAGGGTGTAAGGGAGCTAGTGACATCTTTCTTCTCTTAACAAAGAGCCCACAATGCATTCTCATATTTCTCACCCATCCAGATGGATTTCTCATTTTGCAGTCTGCCAACCATAGTATGAAGGAAAAAGAGCTTGGCCAGTGAGGGAGGGGGACATATTTGCTGGGCGCTAAGTACATTTTGTATGCTCTGTGTATGCTATTTGGATAATCTTCATACAGGTATGATTATTCTCATTTTACAAATAGGAACACCAAGACTCTGGAAAACTAGTGGCTTCCCCAAAGTTATACATTATCAAGTGACAGAGTCAAAATTTGAGTCCCTGTGTATTTGGCTCTAACATCACTCTGCCAGGGTGTTTCTCTTGTAGCTAATCTCAGGGAAAGCTGTGACATAGATAAGAATTGGTATTGACACCCCTGCCCCCACTTTCTTATTTAATTCCCTATCCTTTAATGTAATGCCTTGACTCCACTTAACAGAGCACATTAACACCACCACTACTATTACTACTACTAATAATGATTATCATTGTTACTATTATTAATAATAATAATATAACTTCAATGATAACATCCCAGCTAAGATTTTTTTTCAGCTCTTACAAGCCAGGCATCATGCCAAATATATTTCATAGATTATCTTATGTAATGGTGCTATTAATATCTCTATTTGTAGATGAGGCAACTGAAGCTTGGAGAGGTTAAATAATTTGCCCTTATGGTGTTCCTGGCTCACTATAGCCCCTGAACAGTGTGCCGCCCTGTTTAGACACTGATGCTATTTGTTGCTTTTTCCAGTTATTCACTTTTCTTCCTACCTTCCCATCTACCTTATCAAAGCCTAACAAGTTAGATCCTTTCCCCC